TGAGGAACACCTGAGGGTCCTTGAAATAAGTTAGAATAGTGTCAATTTGCTCTAACCATTTGGGTTCTATTAGTTAGATAGCTGCCAATCCATTGCAGTAATACCCCACCTAGACCATATTTGTTGAGTTTTTGAAGTAGGAGAATAAGGTTAACCCTGTCAAAAGCTTTGGAAAAGTCAGTATAGACGGAATCGATTTGTAAACCTTCATCCAAGGCTACTGACAAGAAGTCGATATAAGTGATTAAATTTAACTCTGTTGATTTTCCAGCACAAAAACCATATTGTTTTTCAGTTATGAAGCCAGAGCAATCATAAGTAAGGTAATCAGTTATAATGTTTTCAAACAATTTAGGTATTATGCTGAGAATTGAGATGGGTCGATAATTTTTGATGCTACCCGATTTGTATATTGGGAAAACATGAGAAAATTTCCAATAATCGGGAAACTCTCCTGTGTCGATTGATTTGTTGAAAATATGAAAGAGAGGGCGAGACAGTATGAAGCTGCAATTTCTTAGTAGGATGGGAGGAATAGTGTCAGGGCCTGGCCCTTTTTTTATATCAAGGTTTGACAGTTTATCGTAAATGGTCGAAATTGGGATGTAGTATGAAGAAACATTAACTTTAGATTCAATTTGGCTATCGTTTAAATTTAGGATATGTGTGGTGTAGTGACGAAAAATGCCTTGCAAACAGATTAGCTACTTCACTGCCGCAACATGCAAGAGAGTTCTCCAAATTCATTTTATCAGGTATGCTGTTATTTGCTCTTTTACTATTAACAAAATTCCAAAACGATTTAACGTTAGTCTTAATAGAGGTTTCAACATGATAGTTTGTAAGTTACCAGACAGATTTCTTAACAAGGTTCTCAACGCCATTTGATTATATTGCCTTCTGTAGGACTCTTTAGGAATTTCAGCATCTGTAAAGTTATTAATTTTACCGATCAAGTGGCTTCTCAAAATCTCTAACCTTCGGGCGAAATCTATTGGTTGTTCGTTTCTTTGTGGATGTGCTGTTAACAAATCCTGTTCGAGATATTCTAAAGATCGTCTATTTCCAAAGCATTGTTGTAATGATTCTCTATTAGAATTCCAAGTATTTAATTCATTTCGCGAACCAACCAATAAATTTGCTTTATCTACAAATCTCGATTTTATTACCTGAAAAATATAACTTTGAATTGCCAGAACATTTACATTTGCATAGGTGTTTACTACGAAGTCACAACTATTAAAAAAATTTCTAAATTGTTTTCATCCCCATCAAACATGGGACTGGTATCGACATGTAATTTTAAAATATCAACATTTACTTGATTTGCATTTATTTAATTTGCGTTTGCTTGATTTGAATTTAATAGGTTTCCATCCACCATATTTATTTTTTTTATTAAAATCTGCGATTAAATTATCTATATTGTTTTTTATATATTTTCTTTCGATAAAAAAATGTTTTATTCACTTAACCTATTCTAAAATTCGTAAAAACTAAGTGTAAAATAAGAGGAAGTATAAAAGGAGTAGGGGTAGGTAGTACTAGGTGAGACGAAATTTACATTTTTGGCTTTAATTTATTTTTTTTCTTAACACGCATTTTGTTTTTATTTCATTTAATAGTATAATCTTCCCGCTTACGAAATGATTAACAAAAAAGGAATTAACCACAAAAATAACAAAAAAAAACTTTATTTTTCATTATTACAAATTTGTCTCATTTAGTACCTGAAAGCGTACTAAGTGAGACTAACACAAGTACCAACTGAGACATAGAAAATCATGACTAACATAAGTTTAAAAAATGAAATATTTTTTTTTAGCGAATATTAACTGAACTGAAGTTAATTCTGAATTTGTACAGTTTAGACTGCCGCTTTGTTGTGCCTGGATCAGGATCTGGAAGTACCATTGCTATATCATTTAAAGTAACAAAAGAGGTATCTGGTATATCTGGAAAGAGAAAGCAATTGGAAAATTTAAGACTCTTACGAAGAAAAGACACTTCAAACTCATCATCAGCCACTCCTGTAACTCTTGCAACATAATAAATTTGTTTTGGGAATCTAATTACAACAAATTTATTCGTTAATATATCTTCTTTGGTCACAACGGAACCTTCAGTTTCATCATCCGGTACCCAGTCTTCAGTTTCAGAAAACGTTTCATATTCAGAATGTTCGGAAGTCTCAGTGTCTGTAGAATCCCGTTTCTTTGCCTTCTTGATCTTGTGAGATGGTTTTTTAGGTCCCTTCTTCTGTAACTCACTTATATTTCTCTTAACTTTTTGAGTTAATTCTTTTGATTTTTCCTTTTCTATCAATTTATCCTTCTCGGGCGTTTCAGTAATTATTGTACTTTTTCCCCTTACTCTTCCTTTTCTAATTTGTTTTCTCGGTAATGCTTTCGGAAATCCTTGAATATCTTCGGGTGAAATGAAGTTAGTTTCAGCTACTTTTGTATTTTTAGGAGGCGTTTTTTCAGTTAACCTTAGGTCAGGCGGAATATTTTCATTATTTATTTTCACTTCTTCCTCTGATAACGGTAAGTCAGTCTTGTGGGATGGACCGGGTTGATTTTCCTTATTTTCAGTTTCTGGATTTTCTGGGTCACAAGAATAAGGTCGATCAGTAACAAACGAAGTTAAGAAGTCGGCTTCCTTAAACACATCTGGATCAAACGGATGAATACCAGACTTTCGGAATCCCGCCACTATATTACTTGGTGTAAAAGACTTTTGCAGTGCTTCTGCCTGAATCATAAATGGACATGGGTACTCCAGGGTGTTGTAGTATATACTTGTCACATGCAGTATTATAATATGCTTTAAAGGGTCCGTAAACGGAAATATCTAAAGGTTGCAATTTATTACTGCAATGAGGAGGAATGGTCAAAATTTGAACACCTGCTTCTCGGGCCCTTTCTACAACTTTAAGAGAAATGTGACTTTCATGGTTATCATATATAAGAAGGGTCACGTTTTCTTTTGTTGAATTGCTATGAGCAATAAAATGATTTAGGACATCCAAGAAAATGTTAGAATTCATCCATCCACTTGGGTTTGCAAAGCCTAAAGCACCTGTCGGACAATCTTTTAACATATGATTTTTAAAGTTTTTTCTGGGAAATATGAGTACCGGGGGTAAAAATGTTCCAGATGCCGAAATTATTCCACACATTGTGACTGTTTCTCCTCGTTCGCCACTTGTAGATTTATATACTTGTTTTACTCCTTTCTGTGCAACAATTCGTTTGGGATTTTGAACTGTTTGGGTGCCAGTTTCATCTAAATTGTAAATACGGGAGCCATCTGCCAAACTAGGGTATTTCTTTAAAATTTTTTGCAAATTATCAAAAAATATTTTAACGTTATGTGGATTAAAAGAAGTTAGACGTGACAAGCTACATGCTTCTGGTTTGCGAATGGAAATATCATTATTTCTTTTCATAAAGGATCTACGCCATTCTTCACCAGCCATTTAATTTTTTTCCCACGAGAGAGGGATATTAAAATCATTTTTGATTGCGAGCTCATAAGCAAGCTTTCTAGTATTCTCTACAGTCAATCCATAAGCCATTTTACTGCAAGTGATTAGATATTCTGCAAAAATTCTTTCTTGTTCTGGCTTAAATATTTGTCTATGCCGATAATTTGGTTCCATAACAGCATCAGGCTTATCTCGCTTCTTTTTAACATATCTGGCTAACGTTTGAAATTTTATATTACAGCGGTCAGCAGCAACTCTCAGTGATAAGTTTTCATTACAAACTAAATTTACAGCGTGTTCCATGGTTTCAGCACTTGTATTGCCAATTTTTCTTGGTTTAGGTTTCCGCGGCATCTATAACAAATTTATCTCTTGAAACACCATAAATTTAGTACAACAATGAAAATTTTTACATATTGATTTATGCGCAATTATACTATGGTACTAACTGAGACTGTCTCACTTTGTACCAGATATATTGTCTCACTTAGTACATTCTAACATCACATAATGAATGCCATCAAAACCAATATATCTATTTCAATATTAATGTTTATGATCATTGAGAAAGTGAGGTTAGTAACTAAATACTATAAATGTTACATGATATCATCAATATTTTACGAAACAAATGTTACATACCATAATATATAGATACAATAAAGTAACTAACTTACCTTAAAATTCGTTTTTAATCAAAAACACCACTAAAATCAACCAAAACAATCGAAAAATTCGTAGAGGGCTTTGCTATCTGAATGTTAACAACTCACTGACAGTTGAAATAATTTAGCGGAAAATTTAAAAAGTTATTCTTGTTGTCTCAGTTAGTACTCCGTCTCACTTAGTACTACCCTCCCCTACTCAGTACTTACTTGAACTTCTTCTGATGATTCCAGCTCAGCAGGCCTCCGTTTCCAGGGTAGATTCCCACAGGAAAGTTCTCGACACCAAAGAGTTGAAACGCACGTTAAATTTCGGAAAATCGGTCCCGATGCCGTGGCTTTTCGCGAAACTACTGTGTCGATCCTACTACGACTGCGCCAGTTAAATTAAAAAAAAAAACCAAAATTTCCTTTTTGAAAATTTAAGACTTTATTTATTTGACGTTTACTCTACAACAATCTAAACTGGAATGAAATTTAATAATGTATTTTACATGATAATGATAAATGCAAAGTTAACAGTTTACGGTTTTATATTTTAATAGAATCAATGTTTCTTCTTATATATCTCACGACTATGTCTAATACATAATAATAAGTACCGTATAAGATTTACATTTAGCGCTGGTATCAGAAAAACAGAAAGATATTTCAAAAAACAATTTAAATCTCTAGTAAAGTCAAAATTATCAGAAAATATTGTTATTATTATTATTATTTTTTTAATTTGAATGGTTAATTTGTAACAACATTTCATCAAAATTGCTCGTTTTCATGAACGCGACTTTCAGTTCGGCGGTGTAAACATTGTCACCGGCAAAACTGAAGCCTCCGGCGCATTTCAGTGTTCTACCTCAGCTCAGCTGTGCTCGTGAAATGTTTTGTGGCCTCGTCCGCTCAGTCTCCAGTTACCAGTTACAAGTCTTGTGTTGAAAATACAGGGGGATAAATTTACCGGCTTTTTACACCCTAGTGTGTAAATAAATGAGTGAAACTAAACAAAATTTATTAAAAAGTGGGTAAGTATTAGTAGTGCGATTAGACTTCCTGTTTACGATAGGCGATAGTTGATCTGGGACGCGATATATTTAATAATAGTCTTGTTAAGTGTCGGACCTGATGCAGTGGTTGTAAATAAAGAAAGGCACTATTATTAAAGTAGGTAGACGGATTATCTTGGATTTGGATTTAGGTCATTGGCTTTCCTTGAATTTTGCAGGGTTTTATTCACCTCAACTAGGGTCTTAAACCTGAAATTTGGTATAGCTTTGGATTATATTTTATTTCCTATACCTATTTATAACATTATTTATTGTTATACCTACCAATAAAATTTATTGCTGTACCTACCAACAACATACAAAATTTAGTATATGTTTACATTTATTTTGACTTTATATAGCGCTTTTTTAAATGTGAATTTATATAAAAAATAGTGCAGTTTTATTTTAATAAAAAATATCTATGTTACGGTAAAAATTAACACAAAAGATAAATTTAATTTACTGAATTATCTGGATTTATTTGATTACCTAATTCAAATTTATCTCTTATCGCCTATAAAAAATATAATAAATATGACAGTTAAGTATTTTTAATGTTTCTTGTTAATGTAACCATCATTTTTTTAAAAATCTGATCTCTTCGGTACCATTCAATTTTTTTTATTATTTTCTTTTCCTCCATAATACTCAGTGACGCTAAATTCAATCACTTTACTTTGGATTAATAGACAGTTATACATTTTTTAGAAAAATACACTCCACTATTCGTGTTTTCAGAATAAGATTAATTGTGTAAAATTGTAACCATTGAATTATAATAATCCACAGTAGTGTTGACAGAACTTCTCCCTGTAAAGTTAAAATATGATTTTTTTCTAAATTTTGGCGAATGAAAAACTGTCCGCCAAAAGTAAAAAATACCAAAAAATGGAAATTTCTAAATAATTTAAGATTTAAGATTATAATTTTTCCATTTGAGTTTTCAAGTTTCTTTTTAAGTGTACCTACACTATTTTTATTTTTCGTTTTCTGTCTTAAATATACCTACTCGAAGGTATCTACTATTATACTCTTACATAACTTTAAAATTTGGTGACCATAATATTAAAAAAATGACCACCAAACATGTAAATAATGATTTAAGAGTACCTTATAATACAAGATAGTGCAGTTGATTTATATTTCTTGCTCTGTGTAAAATTAGTGTTATTTTAATAACTAAACAAAATTAATTTACAGTGACTGTTTTGAAGTGTTCTGTACGTAATTACTTTAATTACTTTACGTAATTGAAGGTATTTCTAAAAACCTCCTCTCTGGCTGATATAAAGGTACTATCTGGTCTACATTATTCTAACCACAACAATTTTTTTGGCTGTTTTACTCTTGATTATTATTTCTTGGGTGTGAACCAACTGGACAAAATTATGCAAAATGTACTAAATGCAAATTGAAAAAAAGAGATGAAAATCTTATTGGCTGTGAGGGACCTTGTGGTTCCTGATTCCTTATGGAGTGCTATCTTATGGGTAATAATGATTTTAAAGTAATTCATAAGTTGAAAAATATTTATTTTATTTGTAATTCTTGCAAAACAAAAATTGAAATTGTCGAAAAAAAAAAAAGAGAATGAAAACCTGAAACGGAAAAATTCATTCGAACTTTTCTAAACTTATTACCGAACAAGTTACCAAAGCTATCTTTGACCAATTCCGAGATGAGACAATGGAGGTATAATACTAATGGAGATGCCATGAGGCAATTGTTTTGCATATGATACGTTTTATTAAAAATGACCCCAGTGGGCGTGGCTTAAATAGTTGACTAAGCAGGGTCGTATTCAAATATAATTAAAGTCCGTATGCAGAATTACAACTTTTAAATGACTTACTTACCTAAGATTTGTTTCAACATGATCGATTCGAAATTAATTTGATGACATTGCGCAATTATGACTTCTACACTATTTACTATTATTTATTAACCGTTTTCCGACCAAGCCAATGCCAAGACCATAAAAGAGATTAATATTATTATATTGTTCTGTCTTCGCCGAAACCGTCCGATATATGACCTGTGTGATCGAAAATCAACGTTCGAATAACACTGTGCATCAGATTTGTTAATCTCTTTGTGCTTTGAAACTAAAACCCGAACTACGATTTTTCGTTCAAGGACTCTCTAGTCTTGATCAAAGCTGTCAATGTCAAAATCTGACAATGAGGAGAATTATGACATCAAGTTACCAAACCAAAAACCAAACCACTACGTGAATTGTGAATAAATATATTTCAGTAAAAATACAGCCGAGTTTGTAGAAAGGACAATTAATTACTTTTAAATGTAAAACATGTAGGTCTTTCTGCTGCAGATGACATACATTAAAAATATGACCCGCTACAGTCAAAAATTTAAAAAGACCAAAAATTCAGCTAGGTATGACTTTATGGTTAAAAGTAGATGGAAGAAAACCATGATCAAAACTACTCTGTCAAAACCAAACGGAACTAAAAAGACTCAGATAATAGTTGTTGGTTTTATTTATGTTTGAAATAATTAATTATATAGGGTAGGTACATATATTACTAAAATTGCAAGCAAGTATTTACTAAAGATTTCTATAATTGGTACCTATGTATAATAAACAACAATCTCACAGATGCACAGCATACAACTATACAAATGGAATTATACAGATAATTTATTTTAAAAATAGGCATTCAGTTGCGATTTGTGATTACAAAAAGAAAACTTTAACCACTTTTTCTGATCAGTAATGTTAGTGTTATAGTGAAAAAGTTTCTAGAAACTGGTGTTTTTAATCCCAATAAAGCATTATGAATTTCCAAGAAAAGTGCATGATGAGAATTGTTTTGACCAAAATTTTGAATGTCATGCCATTTAAAAATAAACACTGTGGCTGTGGATAACATTTGACACAAAATATTATCCTAAAAATAACTGTTTCGTTGCATTGGAGGAATAATTTCTTCATTAGTACTTTTTTAGGGTGCAAGGATGACTTGACATTATGACATTACTAAATTTAAACCTTTGTTATAAGTTGTCTTTTTGCTTTAATTTCTGATACACCTGTATTGTACATACTTGAAAAATATAAAATTGTTCAAGTGGGAAGTTTATATACAAGGTGTCTCATTGAGAAAGGGATACAGAACAACTGAAGAGTCTGATTAAAAATAAAACTATGCTTAGAATGAGAATATTCTTCATTTTAATTTTGAAGTTTCTTATAAGTTCCCAACAAAAGTACCTATATCATTTACTTAAAAAACATCAAAAAATATATAATTATAGTTCAAATAAGTGTAACGTATCTTATGACACCAAAAACGTTTGCCAAATTTGGTAAAATTATAGGTAACTCTTCAGTTTTTCTGTGTCCCATTCTTAATAAGACACTACAAAAAAAATTATTATTTATAAAAATATTTATTGACCTTTAAACAACACTATTTTGTTGTTTTGATGTCTTATGCTAGCAGCTTTATTAACTCTAGTTTTAGTGAGATATGTTAGTCGGATACTAACATATTTATCAACTATGCACTTGATTAATAATATTCTATGATTATCCAACACAAACTGGTCCAAACTGTGCTGCATAATATTCGAAAAGACATTAGAATTTATGAATTCTTTTAAAACTAATGTCCTGATGATATCAACTGATATTTTTTTCTTAGAGTCTTTCATAATTTTTAATATTTTTTCACATTTTAAACAAATGTTTATTACATCTTCCGATGGATATTGCAAACCATTTTTATTCTTTATATCAATGAATGAAAATAGAAACAAATCTCTAGTTTTACTTATTAAAGCATCTAGACATTGTTCACAAATGATTTTCTTTTTTAAATAATAAACAACATATCCAGAAATGTAAGTGATTATATATTTAGAAAATGAGGAGACTGGATCTGGTAAATAATCATGATCATTTTCAATTACATTCACTTTCTCAAAATCATCAATATTATCAGACATTGCATATTCCTTTGAAGTAACATTTAACTGGCTTGTTATATTGCACTTTAAAATAGTTAATTCCTCCAAAGGAATACAATTTGCACAAAAACTACTAGTTTAAGTTCCAAAACTACTAGTTTAAGTTCCAAAACTACTAATTTTTAGATATCATTAACTTCGACATATGTTTTAAATTATATTTATTGTGTATTGTGAACAAAGTCGGCAGGTTTTTAAATTAAGGAACATCAATTTAATGTTTGTTTATTTAATATTAATAATAATTGTAATGTGGTACATGAGCGGGCATATTATTTTATATCATGAGGATGAGGAGGTACATAGCAGTGAGTGATGGCCACAAATCTAATTAAATAATAAAAATACATCACCCGTATTTATTATTATACAGTATATTCATTATCAAAACGGTATAATAATAGGAAATTTGGATCTAATAAAAACTGCTTTTAAATACTTGAAATTTTATTCTAAATTATGTGTTACTTAAAAAGTTAGTCATTTAAGTGTAATTATAAGTTGGTTTTTAAGTTTAATTATAGTTGGTTTTTAAGTTTAATTATAAAGTTAGTTATTTAAGTTTTATTATAGTTCATTTATTGTCGGAACAGCATTCTTCTTCAATCTGACCCTAAACTCACTCTTATCAAAAAATTCTTCCTTGAAGTGAATAGAGCACAACATGCTATTCGGTTTAGGCTCAAATTGGTCTTTTCTCCCACAAATTTAGACCAAATTTTGAGATATTATGGGTCTTTTGGAAACCTATAATAAAAAAAGTTAAATACACTTCTTATACTTACTTATGAAAACTTAAATTAGATATTTTCTTACGCTCTTTCACTGAAGAGTTTTTACAATTAATTTTGGCACACTTAGTTATGATTTTTATACAAATTAATCAAAAAAAAAAATCACTTATTAAGATAGAAATAACGTCGAAATATTTAAATTTGAACAAAGTTCTGACAGCTCTTTGACAACTATGACATGACCACTAA